GAGCTATCCGTTCTCCCTTGGGGAGGGGGTAAAGTTTACTATAGTTTATATAGGGAAACAACACTTTTGGGTATATTTTGACAATTTTCTGTTGGAAATTATTTTTACTTGGTCAGAATCATCTTTGGTGGATGACAGTATCACATTGTAAACTTGGAATTCCTGCCCCATCCCCAGGGGTTAGAGCGGGGTCCCAAAGGGAACATTTACAAATATTTTAAAATTCTTATCCTTTGATGACATGACAAGTATTGTATTTCACTTAGTTTACATGCTGATTTCCACATCACATCTAAACAATAAAATAAAGCTACCAATACCTATGATATAACTCAGGTGACCGCTAAGGCCCTTGGGCCTCTTGTATTTGGATAAGATGGGTTTCACATATCTATGCCTATGCTTCATCACATTGATGATTCACACTTTTGTAATTTTCAAAGATCAAAAATGTGAAACTACAGTTTATTAATTACTTTGCTAATTTGGATCTATCAATCACTTATTATATATACCCTTTCATGTAAAATGTGTGTTTTCACCTTGTCATATAACCCCGTCAACTTCATTTCATCAGATGTCATAGTGTTAGTTATGTTCTAGTTTCATGGTACTGAGGTCAAGGTCACTGTTTCTATTTTTAGACAATCTTGATAGTCACTCTTAATCGGTTCAAGCTTCAATGACCACGAGTTTCTGTCCAGCGCTAGGTCAGTGTCACTAATTTTGACTTTATTTTCCAATGAACGTCCGTTAATCTCGGAATCCAATTTTCAGGTGTCATTCACGATTGCTTAGTTTTCAGTGGATGCTATTAGGATTACCATGTAAAAAATATTTATTTGAATCAGCAGACTTGTGGTATTGTCTAATCGGTGATGGGTGGACACTTTTCTTTATATCTTGGTAATTTGAATAGAGTGGCGTGATGCTTGAAACAATTGTGATCACCGATCATCGGTTTCTTTCAGGTACAAATCTACAGTTCAAAGTCACTGCAAATCCATAAGACCATCAGCCGATTTAAGGATTTAGCCTATAGTGGAAGTTTCCGTGACGATGGGAAGCTGGTGGTTGCTGGTGGTGACGAGGGTCTTATCCGACTTTTCGATGTTGAAGGACGAGCGCTGCTCAGGGTGTTCAAAGGACATACCGGGTAAGTTTATGTTGATGACTTAAACCTTATTTAATAGTAGTGTGAATGATGTTTAACTCATTCACCACTGAAATTTCATAATGAACTATTCCAACATTTGAAATGGAAGAGTTTAAATGTGTCTTTAGGGGTGAATGAGTTAGTCAGTCACACATAGAGATTGAACAGTATTTTATAAGAAAATTGTATTGTGATGGGACATGCATTACTATGGCATTGTCCATCCACCTATTAACAAGTTCTTGTCCGGAGCATATCTTCTTAACCAAAGAGAAAAATGAAAGGAACTGATGCACATATAGGTATTTTCCAAATTAACAGGTTTGACAGGTGCCAATCATTCATGCAAATTTTCAAAAGAAAAAGAAAAAAGAAAAATGAAAATAAAACAAAATTATTTTGTAGTTCCTGTCTTCAGGTGACCATTTTGAATTCCTTAATATTTTAGGTGTACATATGTGAGTCTATAAACAGTATTATAGCAGAGAACTCAACCAATCACTTCAAAGAGAAGTCGTTCTTACCTCCAGAAGCAACCTCTATATTTGAATTGCCGTCAGAACAAACTTGTAGCAGCTAGTTGCATTTGACTCGAGAGACCTTACAAGTCACACAAATACTATGTCATTCTCTTACTGCTTAGATAAGGATTAGAGGCATTTTATGAGTAATAAACAATCAGCGTAGTAGTCATGTAAACAAATATTGTGAGAAGGTTTTAAATTGTGTCATTGTGAAAAGAGATTCCCGAGAGGATGCACTTTTGCCAGTGATATATAAACACAAGGGAGATTCTCAACAAGATGTGAGCAAGGCAGTGGTGATATCATCTCCCTCAAGTAGAAACTCATGTCAGGTTTTGAAAACTCCTAAAACGAAACTGTAATCCACCAGTTGTTATACTATGCCTGTTTGTAAATATTCCAAGTGTAAATTCTCCAGCAAACATAAACGAGGAAGTTGGTTTTCTGAGATGTGTCTGGCCTGATGTAAGAGTGATTGGAGTAACAGTAGCAGATCTGTCATAGTTTAATGTCGACATGTTTACAGGTATACTAGTAACTAACGCTGCTTGACGAACGTTAAGTTACCTTTTAACGAGGTGGTACTCCAGGAGAATAGTTATGATGTATAAAGTCTAAAGTATTAAAAAGTTCAGTTTTATTTTCTACAACTTGTAATAAAAAGGAATCCCATAGGGGATACTCATTAAATAGTCATATTTTATTATTAAATGACTTTCATAATTGTTAACATGCAGCACCCCTGAATCTGAACTTTCTCTTCTTCTTATGTTTTAAGAGCTGTACATGTGACAAAGTTCCTGCGTGACCGTGTGCGACTGTTTTCGGGTGCCGATGACAATAGTGTGGCAGTATGGGACATCCCTCGTGAAGAACAAATCACCACATACAAAGAACATCAGGTAGGTCATTTAGAGGTCATCTGAAGGTCAGGTGGCACATAACCCCACCTTCAAGGAACATCAGAAGGTCACTTAAAGGCCATTTGAAGGTCAGGGACATATATATCCCCACCTTCAAGGAACATTAGGAAGATTGTAGGGTGGGGGGGGGGGGGGGG